CCACATGCAAAAAGTGCTCTATTGGATTGATATCTGCTGACTGTGGAGGCCATTTGAGTACAGTGAACTCATTGTCATGTTCAAGAAACCAGTCTGAGATAATTCAGTGACATGGTGCGTTATCCTGCTGGAAGTAGCCATCAAAAGACACAATCTTCTGTTGCTGTAGCCCATCCGCCTCAAGGTTCGATGTGTTGTGTGTTCAGAGATGCTCTTCTGCAGACTTTGTATGGTTATTTGAGTTACTGTTGCCTTTCTATCAGCTCGAACAAGTCTGGCCATTCTCCTCAAACCATCAACAAGGTATTTGCGGCCACAGAACTGCCGCTTAGAGGTGGTTGTGCGTGAAAATCCCAATATATCAGCAGTTTCTGAAATACTCAGACTAGCCCGTCTGGCACCAACAATAATGCCACGTTCAAATTCACTCAAATCATCTTTCTTCCCTATTCTGATGCTCGGTTTAAACTGCAGCAGATCATCTTGACCATGTCTACATGCCTAAATGCACTGAGTTGCTGCCATGGCTGATTAGAAATTTGCATTAGTAAGCAGTTGTGCAGGTATACCTAATAAAGTGGCCAGTTCAACCACAATAGTTTTCCGTCTTATTCGATTTAGGGTTAATTTCACACGTGTAAGGTTACATGTATTATAAGATGGCATATAGCCATTTTTTCTTCCCTTTTTAAAATATTCTAATCATAATTTTTCTACAAATTTTCTCCCATATTTTCCAATGTCAAATCATAATAAAGTCAACAATGTATTAAATGTCAAAGTAAATATTTTTTCATACTATTAAAAGTTTGCACAGATTCTCCAATTGCGAAAAACTTTTCAAAGACAATTCAGAATTCAAAGAGAAGTTTCTTAAGAGTGTGTTTTAATAAAACTGTTTGAAGAGTTTGTGTTATTTATACACTCAAAATGATCAAAGATGTTCTTAAGAATCAGAAAAGAAAAAAACTAAATCAAACATCTGCATTTTTTCTGTGGCAGAATTCAACCTCAATCATATATGTTTGCATTTACAGATCCAATCCCCTCTCTTGAATCTATATTTATAAATGTGTATTCACCTGCAGGGTCATATTGTTTGAAACACGAGATTCTTCATTTAAAAGATATGTTGCTGGTTATTGGACGTAATGTTCAAAGGGTAATTATAGTAACCGTCTCTTAGCAACAACAGAAAAGACATTAAAATGTTGATTAGTAAGTGCTAAGCTCGATAATATAGAGAATAAAGACAGACAATGTACAAGAAAAAAAAAAAGTAATGTTGACGTTTAAATCTCATTTACTTTGGCGCAGAAGATTTTTTTTTGGCCTACTAAACGCCAGTCAACAGCTTCGACGGTGGCGGGACGTATGAAAGCATCCATCCACATGCCTCCAGTGACCACGGGGACGAGACACACTGAGATTAAACTCTATTCATAGCCATGAATGAAGGACAATGCTGCCAAAATGCCTCTTAAAAAGTCACTGTAAACATTTCAGGGAATCCGCAGGTACAATTCAGGCTCCATTCATGGCCTGTAGTTTAAGACCATCCGAAAAGCTGCTGTCCGAAAAATACAGCTTTTCAAATGCCTTTATTATTTTTGGACAAGGTTCGTGGTGCACTTTAGAAGAGCGCTTCTAAATTAGGATTTGTTAGCTCACATTTGTTATTTTTCCTATTTTATTAAATGTAAAATTTGTATTAAGCCATCATTGTTATCATAAGACTAGATAGATAGCCCCCCTTCCTTGTTTTTAAATCTCAACTGCCTAAGTTCCTTTCAAAGCTCAACTATCAAAGCTATAAGACTAGATAGAAATAGGAGTCAAATTTATTTAGAAATGTCCTCAGTGTTCGAGTTACAGGTTCTAATTTCCCACCTTTTTTCATCTCAACTGCCACAATTTATTTCAGAGTTAAGATTCTTTTTTGGTTTTTTTTTAAATCTCAACTGCCAAAGTTCCTTTCAAAACTATAAAATAATTATAAGATTTGATAGGAGTAAAGTTTATTTAGAAATGTTCTTACAGCTATCAAACTAGAAATTTAAATGAACCAGTCTTTTCCCTCTTTTATTAAATGTACAACCTAATAAAGATTAGAGTGTATTATGTCTGGAAAAACGCAGCTTTTTAAAGTCTTTATTATTTTTAGACTAGATTCATGGTGCACTTTTTAATAGCGCTAGATAAGGGTTTGTTAGGCTAAATAAATTTTATTACAATGTAAAACTCTAAATTAAGCCAACAAAATTATTATCAGACTAGAATTTATAATATAAAAAGTATATTTATTCAGAAATATTTCTTGTGTTAAAGTTAAAGATTCCTTTTTGTTTTTTTAAATCTCAACTGGCAAACTTCTTTTCAGAGTTGAGACTCTTTTTTCTCGCCTTTCTGTTTTTTTTTTAACTCAACTGCCAAACTTTCTTCCAGAGTTAAGATTTTTCCCCACCTTTTTGTTTTTTAAATCTCAACTGCCAAACTTTCTTCCAGAGTTAAGATTCTTTTTTCCCGCCTTTGTTTTTAAAAAATCTTAACTGACAACTTTCTTACAGAGTTAGGATTTTTTTTCCCCACCTTTTTGTTTTTTTTAAATCTCAACTGCCAAACTTTACTTTAAAGCTCAACTATCTACAGACTTTAATTTAAATTTAACAGCCTTTTCCCACTTTTATTAAACGTAATAAAGGTTACAAATGTATTATGTCTAAAAGATGCAGCTTTTCAAAGTCTTTATTATTTTTAGATGAGATTTGCGGAGCACTTTAGAAGAGTGCTTATAAATTAGGCTTTGTTGGGCTAAATTTGTGTATTTTTCTATTTTATAAACAGAAAAATCTAATAAAGGCAATGAGGTATTATAAAGAATAGGATGAAAGCATATCTTTATTCTGATATGGTTCTCAGTGTCCGAGTTAAGTTTTTTCCCGCCTTTTTGTTTTTTAAAACTGCCAAAAATCCTTTCAAATTCAAATAGTAACTGCCATTTTACTCTTTTATTAAATGTACAACTTAATGAAGGTTGCAAAGTATTATGTCTGTTAATTACAACTTTCAAAGTCATTAGTGAATTGGGCTCAACTAATATACAAAAAAAACTATATGAATTAAACTAAATTTCAAGACAGTTAATTTATTAAAAGCAATTGCGAATAAACACAGTATCAGTCCTGAGAGCAATGAGGGTTAAACTGGGGGCGGTGGGTTACGTTTTCTCTTGCCCTGACACTTTTTTTTTTCCCGTGGAAAGCAGAAACTAGAGCCTGACCCCTTTTGCCTTCCTGTGCTGTCTTCTTTTCTTTCCGAACATGTCAAAGATAAGTGTCAGCCTTTCTCACAATGCAGAAGATCAGATTTAATTTGTTATCTTTTACAACAAAATGGCCATTGTCATCAATATATGGCGCAAAAAGCAGAAGTCAGTGGAGTTTCTTAGAGATTGCAATCTTAGAGGCCCAGAAACAAAGATTTGCTCCTTGCACGCTCTCTTGGAGCTAATAAATTATCTGATTATGCGAGACATCCTCTTTAACCACAAAGTGCAAGCACACACAATTGCTAAATACTTAACTTTTTTTTTTATTTAGCTCAAATATCACTGTGTCAAATAGCCAAAATTCTTTCTGGTGATCCAAAAATAAAAAAATACATATATATCTTAATATAAGTATAATCATTTACCAAAATATAACATTAGCAGAAAAGGAATACACATTTAGTTTTTTAAAAGCATTAGCTTTTTGCTCTATGCCTAACATTTAAGACCCAATACATTAAACTTTGAGGGTTTGGGGGTGTCGAAATCAGAAATTACTTAAAATTGTACAAGACCAAAACGGGAATTTTGGATGTATGTTTGTACGCAAAACAAAGCTTTCAAAAGAACATTTAAATGTTTGTTCGTTTTGTTGTTTTAAAGTAATATTTTTTATTATATTATTATTATTATTTAATAGGTTTCATTAAATAAAAGGGCCATTTAAAATTTAAGTTAAACTGAACTTTTATTTTGTAATTTAATGTGCATTTATAAAGCGTGTTTATTGTGTATGGCCATACATCCAAAGTGTTTTACAGTCACCATGACCGGTAAGGGCCAACAGTGGGAGTTTAGCCAGGACAATGGGCTTTCTTTACGTTTTATTTAACGCAGGGGTGTCCAAACTCGGTCCTGGAGGGCTGTTGTCCTGCAAAGTTTACCCCAATCAGACACACCTGGGCTAGCTAATCAAGCTCTTACTAGGCTTTCTAGAAACATCCTTGCGGGTGTTGGGGCAAGTTGGAGCTGAAATATGCTGAACACCGGCCCTCCAGGACTAAGTTTAGACACCCCTGATTTAACGTCTTGTCTGAAAGATGGTGCTCACTGACAGTATAGTGTCCCAGTCACTATACTGAGACATTAGGACCCACACAGACCACAGGTTGAGTGCACTAACACCACTTCCCACAGCAACCTATTTTCCCGCGTGGTCTCCCATCCAGGTACTAACCTGCTTACCATGAGCAACCAGTATTAGGCAGAAAGGTGACTTTGATGGTTTGTAGTGATAAGCTACGTACAGACTATATAACAATGGGTATCAATAGTGATCAATAGTGGCCAAAAGTCCTTGGAGTTTAGTTATAACTCCAATTAAACACTCAAGAAGTGACAAATTAAAGTTTTTATAGTTTGAGTGAACTGCTGTGAAATTTGCTTTAGACGATTAGTTCAGTGTGTTGATGTGCTTCCCCGCCCCTGCTCATTATACAGTTTCAATTGGATTTCTTCTTGCGCATCATTCCCTCATAGCAAACTAATGGTAAGAGGGGCGTAGCCAAGAATCTTGTGGATGAAGCCATGAAACTGACATTAGAGAAAAAGAAGATTCTCAGAATTTGACAAGATTACCAAAACAAACTTTCGTTTTTGTGGATTGACTTGCATAGATTAAGTATTCACCTAAAGAATTACAGGGCTAGCAAAATAAATAAACTTTGCACATTTTGATTCAACACAAACTTCTGAAATGAGTGGTGGAACAGGTTGTGAATTAAACAGGATGCTTAACCTATAAATATCAATACCAATTTTTCTTTAACTTGTGCACAGATTCCTGGAAGAGGATGGCACGCACAGATGAGGACTTGATTGGAATCCCCTTCCCAAACCACAGTAATGATGTCCTATGCAGTCTGAACGAGCAGCGGCGGGACGGCCTGTTATGTGACGTCATTTTAGTTGTCCGAGATCAAGAGTACCGCACCCATCGCTCAGTCCTCGCTGCTTGCAGCCAGTACTTTAAAAAACTGTTCACAGTGGCCACCGGTTCCAGTCGGGACACCAACCCTCACGCCATCTACGAGCTGGATTTTGTGGCACCAGAATCCCTGACGGCCATATTAGAGTTCGCCTACACGTCAACGCTAACAGTGACGGCATCCAACGTCAAGGAGATCCTGAGCGCAGCCAGACTCCTGGAAATCCCTTGCATTATTAACGTATGTCTGGAAATCATGGACACGGGTGGAGGCGGAGGAGGAGGAGGGCAGGTGGAGGGTGAGGAATTTGAGGGAGATGATGAGGACGATGAAGATGAAGAAGAAGAGGAAGAAATGGAGGAAGAGGTCGACTCGAAAGATGGAGAGTTCGAGGACAATAACAGCGAGAAGTCCGCGCAAGGAGATGGGCCGGATGTTCAAGAGGGAAAAGTTTGGGAGGTGAGGGAAGCGGAAAGTCCGTCTTGCAGCTCCCAAAAAGGTCGGGATGAGTCCCAAAGATCCCAAGTGGGGTCTCCAGAAGCCCCGCAATCTGATAAACCCAGAGCACCTGAGGGTTTGGAGGGCAGAGCGTTGAAGGACTTCTCCATTGAGTCTTTACTTCAAGAAGGGCTGTACCCGAAAGTTCCCGGCCTGGAAAGAGGTGCAGGATTCTCGCCTCTTCTCCCAGGTAGGCTTATGATGGTATTAGAATAACAATATTGCAAAATACACACACACACACATACATATACATATATATATATATATATATATATATATATATATATATATATATATACACACACACACACACACACACGAGATATATATATATATATATATATATATATATATATATATATATACACACACACACACACACACACACACACACACACATCTATATATATATATATATATATATATATATATATATATATATATATATATATATATATATATATATATATATATATATATATATATATATATATATATATATATATATATATATATATATATATATATATATATATATATATATATATATATATATATATATATATATATATATATATATATATATATATATATATATATATATATATATATATATATATATATATAGATATATATATATATATATATATATATATATATAGATATATATATATATATATATATATATATATATATATATATATATATATATATATATATATATATACATATATATATATATATATATATATATATATATATATATATATATATATATATATATATATATATATATATATATATATATATATATGTATATATATATATATATATATATATATATATATATATATATATATATACATATATATATATATATATATATATATATATATATATATATATATATATATATATATATATATATATATATATATATATATATATATATATATAT